CATCCTCCCCAGGCTTGGCTTTTTCAGGTTAAGGAAAATGTGGTGGTGGCTCTGCCTGTAGTGCGGGACCAGGGCCCACATGACACTCCCTCCTTGCACTGCATCTGTCACCTCCAGGCACAAAATGCCACCTCCACCACTGGCTGCAGTCCCAGCCTTGGCTCTGCCACCTCTGATGACCCTGCATGGTGCCATGGAGCAGCACCAAACAGCAGCCAAAAGAGGGGGAGACAGGAAAACAATGTGTTATAACAGACACATCGACAGCTTGGGGTGAAATAATCTGACCCTGTTTTGATCTTGGGTGATTCATTCTGACCTCAGTAAAGAGACATGGTCCCCAGCCTGGTGCTGAATGGAGGGCACAGAGCTGGAACTGTGCAGATCCTTGGCCTGCAGCCAGCTCCCTTCCAATTCCATCAGTGCCCAGGGGCACGGCCAAGGCAGCAGCCCTGGCTAACACAGCCTAATGGTCACAGGCCGGTGCTCCTGCCAGGTGAAAAAGCACTTCAAGCCTGTGCCGGCCCTGATTAGCAAAACTACGGTTGCCATGGAGCCTGAATACCTGCTAATAGCGTGCCTGCCTCCCCTGTCCCCTCTGCAGACCCAGGGGACACCAGCTGTGGAGCAGAGGCCAATTTTGCTGTTCCTCAGAAAGCTGATTGCTTTCATCCCAGGGAATATTGAAATGGTCTCTATATTTTTTTCCTTCCTTCTTTCAGTCTCATTTGGGGCAGAGGAGAAACGTTCCTCCCCAGCTACCCCTCAGATGATCTGTGGGGCTCTGGGTGCAGACCTTGCAGGGAAAAATGCCAGGCTGTGAGCAGGGCACCAGCCCAGGGCTGCAAAGGCTCCCTGCTGTTCCTTTACCAGATGCCTGCACTCTGGAAAAGGTGCTGGCCAGTTTTTGACCAGCTCAGAAAAAGGAATTTAGAAATGTAGAAACGGCTGCCACTATTGTGAGAGGTTAAGATGTCACCTGCTTAGGCTGTGTGAGAGGGGAAGAGAAGGTAAAAATGCTGAGGTGAGATTTTTGGGACTGGGCACAGCTGTTACACAGTGAAAAGGCCTCTGGAGAATTAGTGAGTAGAAATACACAGGAGAGTGATGGCTAAAAAATTATTACAGGAGGGTGTCCCACACAGACAAGGATGGGTGGATGGGCTCTGATGGGTAAAACACAGCAGGGCTGCTTTGAAAAGGCCACCCCATTGACCTGTCTATGCAAAATAACCCATATCTGGGCCTGTTTGATGCTCTGTGGGTCTGTGTGGCCCTTCCTGGCCTTGAGGTCTAAAAAAAGCTTCTTCCTGCTCTCTGAAATGCATCCTCTAGGCTTGTCATCTGCAGGTGACCAAAGAGGGGCAGCTTTGAGTAGGCAGCTGCCAGCAGAGAGAGAAGCCCCTTTTACATCCTCATGACCAAAAAATTTGCTTCCTCTCCAAGGGGAGAGGGCTCATTCTTGCCCAAAAGCTTCATGACCCTGTTCTGTCTGTGCTCGCTATCCCTGCCCTGGAAAATTTGCTGCAGGAATTCCTGGAAAGGGGCTGCTCCTCTGCTTCCTTCTGTGGCTGCAGAATGCCACCCAGGGGCTCTTGCCTGCTGCAGGATAGCATGGAGGGGGACAGGGGACTGTCTGTGCCTCAGTTTCCCTCTTGGATGCAGTGTTACTCTGTGGCTTTTTGTGTTCAGAACCAGAGGGTGTTAATTAAATCTGCAAAGGGCAGGAAGAAGAAATGGGGATGGAGCACACACAGCCCCACAGTGCTGGGCTGCAATCACTGTGTGATGCCCTCTGGAAAGGAGCCACGAGTGGGTGCAGTGGGTTATTAGGGCTGTGCCTCTGGAGCTCTGAAACTGAGGTTTGCTTTCTCTTTTGGCTTCTTGATTCTCCTGGCACAGCTGCAGAGCTGGGCCTTGCTCAGCTCCTGTGTGGCAGCCTGAATCCACTGGTGCCAGCAGGGACAGACTCTGCCCTGGGCTTACAAAGGGAGCCTGGTGGTGCCCTGCTTGTCTTCTTCCAGTCTAACCCAGAGGTGCTCTGGCCATGGACAGGGCTGGGCTGTGGCAGACCATGAGCAGGAGCAGGTTTTGGTGTGCAGCTTTTGGTGGCCATCCTCCCTGCCACCTCCCCAGGCAGGATAAATATAATAAAATACCTGATCAGAGGAATAGGCTGTAGGATCAACCTCTCAAGTGCAGTTTACCCTTTTTTCAGCAGTGGGGGAGAAGTAGAGGAAGAGGGGTTGTCACTTCCTGGTCATTTTGTTTATCAGAAAATTAAAAGAGAGAATGGATCATTCTAAAGGACTGTTAGATTTGTGAGGACTTAGAGGTGGGATGAAGGAAGAAGGAGACCCAAGAGAAAGAAGTGATAAGCAGTCAGTCCCTGCCAACTCTTCCCAGAGAGATAAGACAGCAGGCAGGGTGGGAGCAGCTATTGGGGCCCCAGTTGTGTGGGATGCTCCAACAGGCTGATGAGGATGATGAGGCAAATGAGGAGGCAAAGGGAGAAGGATCCCAATGTCCTGTGGTTCTGGTGTCCCACAAAAACTGGGGCTACAAATGGGGCACTGAGATCTGCCACCACCGGGAATTCTGGCAGCCTGGTGGGGATGGGGGAATTTGTGGGTCATTTTGGAGAGAACCAAGCTTTGTCTTGTCCTTGCTCCTTGCAAACCTTCCTTCCCACGTGCCTGTTGTCCTCAGGAAGAAAAGGAGGGTGTAGGGAAGAAGATGTTGAAGTTTATCAGGAGCTCAGCAACGTCTCCACTGCTTTATTCCAATCCAAGCAACCTCCAAGCACCCCGGTGCCTGCAGACATCCCCTCATCCTCCTGGGAGTGCAGGACACGGGGGCTCCTGCAGGGACAGGGACAGAGAGCAGAGCTCAGGGGCTCCCCAAGGGCTGCCTTGAGGCAAAGCCCAGACAGAGATGAGGAACAAGAGGGTTGAAGGAATTGTGTCTGTGTGCAGGGAACAGCCTCTGCCCCAAGGATGGAGAGGTGGCTGTGTAACAGTGCCCAGAGCTCGGGGAGCACCTGGGACTGTACCCAGAGCTGTGTGTGACTGTGCTGGGAGCTGTGTGTCACTGTGCCCAGAGCTGTGTATGACTGTGCTCAGCACCTGGGACTGTGCTCTGGGAGCTGGCTGTGTGTCACTGTCCTCATCAGGGCAGTCAGAAAACAGAGGAGGAATGGAAGGGAGGGAGCAGAATGCTTCTTTCCATGCTGTAATCCCTGAAGTGGGCTCATGCTGAGGCTCCTTGTGCCTCTGCACTGGCACAGATCTGTTCCCTGCCTCGAGCATCCCCCAGGGAAAGCAGCCTGTGCACAGTCTGGAGGCAGGGGAAGAAATCCCTGCCTCATCACTTACTGTTTGTAGCTCTGCCACCCAGGGGCTGTGACCTGACGTGTGCCACTTCCCTGGCACTGTCACCCATCCTGGCATCTGCAGAAACAGCCCTGCTGAGCCCTTGCCAGCATCATCCTGCTGCTGTCCCTGTGTCCTGTCCCAGCTGTCACCAGCACTGTGCCATAACCCTGTTTTACTGTGTCTCCATCCCCAGAGGGGATGAAGTTTCATTTCCTCACTTCCATAGGAGCAAGCAGCAACTCTTCTCCCTCTCCCTCCCAGTTTCAGACACTGTTTCCAGTTTGTTGATTTCTTCCCTTGAGTAATGTCTTGTTTACACTCATTTACCCTCCAGGCCTTTGGCTTCAGCAGTTCCTTTCCTCTGGGGGAAGAGATGGTTTCCTGAGGAAAGTCAAGGCTCAGGGCAGGCACAGACCCTCTGTGCCCCTGGAGTGTTTGCCCTGCCAGGCACAGACCCTCTGTGCCCTTGGAGCATTTGCTCTGCCAGCTCCCCTCTGATTGATGCTTTTTGCTGCAGGGAGCAGAGGTAGGGCCAGGTCAGGGCTTTGCTGGCCTAGTCCTGTGATCCCTCACCTGCTCTGGAATTTCTTTGAGCAAAGTCAGGGGGAGGGAATGGTGCTGCTCCTCTGCTGTGTGCTCCGGCATCAGGAGGAGCACTGGGCCGTGCAGGACCCAGGGGCTGTGTCCTGGTGCTGGAGGCCCCCAGATCCAGGGAGCTCCTCACACCCTGGCACAAGCACCAGGCAGGGCAGTGCAGCCGCTGTGCTGGGCTCAGCCATGTGGGGCTGGCAGCAGGGCTCTCCTGGCAGGGCTCTCCAGGTTCCTTCTCCAGATCCCTGGGGGAGCCCTGCTGGGGCTCTTTCAGCTCAGTCTCTGAGCAGGTGGGATGTGCTGGGACAGGCAGAAGGAGGCAAGTCCCGGGATGCCCCCCTGGATGGGACCGGGTCCACCTGTGCCCTGCCACCCTCGGGGGAATGGAGGGGCCGGTGCATGTTCCCGTGCCCAGGGGCGCCTCCCGGTCCCGTGGGTTGGCAGTGCCACCAGTGGAACGATGCGCTGCCGACTCCGCATCCCCTCCCCAGCTGCGGGGCTGGAGAGCCGGAGCCGCGGAGCCCCCACCCCGCAGGTGGAGCGGGAGCCCGGGGGCTTCTCGGGGCTCGGACCGGGCCAGCGCGTCCAGCGCGTCCCGTGGAGGAGAGAGGAGCCGCGGGCGGAGCGGGGACACGCGGCCTTGACACGCGTCCGTGGGGCTCAGGAACAGTCAGTGGGTCCGTGTGTGTGCGACGCGTCCGTGTGTGTGCGACAGGTCCGTGTGTGTGTGACAGGTCCGTGTGTGTGCGACAGGTCCGTGTGTGCGCGGGTCTGGAGCTCCCTGGCACGGGGGTGTCCGCACGGAGGGCAGCGGGAGCGGACTCACACCGGGCTCAGGGAGGGCAGGAGGGAAAGGACAGACACCGGACACCGAATGGACAGGAGGGAGCGGACAGACACAGGGCACGGGGAGGGCAGGAGGGAAAGGACAGACAGACACCGGGCACGGGGAGGGCGCTGAGCGGAGCACGGGGCGATGCTGCGAGCGCAGCAATTTCCTCGCACCCAGGCGTGCCGGGAGTCGCTGGCGGCACCGGCTCCACGGGGCAGTGATTCGGGTGACCCAGGGATGGCGCATCTGGAAGTCGGAGACCTCGGGAAGCCGCTGGGTCCATCCGCACGTCCCCGGGATGAGCCCGGACAAGCGGGCGCTGTACAGGCTCCCGTGCCGGGGCTGATCGATGCTTCACTCACCAGCGAGGCCACGCAGATGACAAATGCCGGCGTTGTGACGGCTGCCGGAGGGGCAGGAGACGTCTGTGCCGCCCTCCCCTGGGACTCTCAGAGTCGATGGAGTTTATTACCTTAACGTTATTTCCTCTCTCTGGAGGGCAGCTTTTGGGCAGTGCTGCCTGGTAGATAAGGAGCCAGCCCCTGGCAGGGGCAGGGTCTCGGCACCGCGATTTCTTTGGCCAGCGGTGGGAAGGGAACCCCTGGCACAGCCCCCAGGCTCTCAGCTGACAGCGGACCAGAGGCAGAAGGTGGATAAGGGCAGGCGGCTTCTCCGAGCTGAGCTCCGAGGGGAAAGCAGCGGCGGGATTTCTTTTGCCTGCCTCTTAAGGCAGTGAAGTCTCCATCCCCTCCCACGTTCCCTCCCCAGCCCTGACCCTGTCCGGCGCAGGGGTGGTGGGACCTCAGCGTTCATCTGGAGTTTCCCAACGAGCCGTAAGTCCTTATCATGTTGGAAAATCAATTTTCCCTCTGGCTGTTTTATTGGTAGCCCTGCCAGCCCTTCTACATATCCGGTAGAATTGCTGCCAGGAGAGATTTTTGGGGCTGTATCCCACTCTGCTTACAGAGCAGGCAAAGAGGACAGCCCTGCTGGCATTCCCCTGATGGGGCAATGGGGCTGAGGTGGACTGGGGAGCTGCCAGGGGTGTTTTCCGATGGGAAATGGGGCAGGAAGCACTTGGGAAGCCTGAGGGAGTTTAGGTGGAAGTTTTTTGTGGTTTTGCAAAGGAAAGGCGGTGTCTGGGGCAGGATGGGTGCAGGAGTGCAGAGCCCTGGTGATCAGCAGAATCCCAGCACCCTGACAGCAGTGGGGAGAGGGACAATGGGAGCAGAGGGAGCAGAGAAGTTGAGAAAGCATCCTGCAAACCTCTCCATCTCTCCACAGCCATGAATTCCTATGTCAACTGCTCCAGTTCCGAGTTCCCTCTGCCCCAGCAAGACTTCTCTGTGGAGCCCATCAGCCCTGATCTCAGCAACAGGACTCACCCAGAGACCTTTTTTGACCCTAAGGATGCCAACCTGACAGAGGAGCAGCTGCGGGATAAGTACCTGGGACCTCGACGGTCCAACTTCTTTGTCCCAGTCTGTGTCATTTACCTGCTGATCTTCTTGGTGGGGGCTGTGGGCAACACGCTCACCTGCATCGTCATCCTGCGGCACCGCTTCATGAGGACACCCACCAACTACTACCTGTTCAGCCTGGCCGTGTCTGACCTGCTGGTGCTGCTGCTGGGGATGCCTCTGGAGCTCTATGACATGTGGAGCAACTACCCCTTCCTGCTGGGGGCCAGTGGCTGCTATTTCAAGACGCTGCTCTTCGAGGCTGTCTGCTTCGCCTCCATCCTCAACGTCACGGCCCTGAGCGTGGAGCGCTACATCGCTGTGGTGCACCCGCTCAAAGCCAAGTACGTGGTGACTAGGAACCACGCCAAGAGGGTCATTGTCACCATCTGGGTCTTGTCAGTCATCTGCTCCATCCCCAACACCAGCCTCCATGGGCTGCAGCCTCTCTATGTGCCAGGACGGGGGCGGGTGCCCGATTCAGAGATCTGCACCCTGGTGAAACCACGCTTGACCTACAATCTCATCATCCAGGTCACCACCATCCTCTTCTTCTTCCTGCCCATGGGCACCATCAGTGTACTCTACCTCCTTATTGGGCTGCAGCTCAAGAAAGAAAAGATGCTGGAAGCCTTGGGAGCCAAGAACGGCAGCAGCCGCAACTGCCACAGCCGCCAGGGGCAGAAGAAAGTCAAGAGGAGGCAGGTCACAAAGATGCTGTGTGAGTCTGGGCAGGGCAGAGCTTGGGACTGCCTCCCAAGGCTGCATTGGGAGGGTGCTGGGGGGAAACTGAGTCATGGGCAGTCCAGAGCACCATGGCGGGTCATCCCAAAGGAAAGCTGTGGGTTTGGCTTGTGGGGTGCTGGGCCAAAGGCAGATCTGGTGATTCTAGTCCAGCAGTAAGGACTGCCCAGCTCCTTCCAATCTATACTATATCCCCTCCTTGAGGGAAGTGCAGGGTGAGAAAGAGAAAGGAGGTGGGTTGGGATGGGGGAACCCACTCCCCATCCCTCCACCCAGACCTCAGATGCTGGTGGCTGTGGTGGGGTTTCCCAGAAGGGCAGCATTTCTGCCCAGCCCCACAGCCTCTGTGACTCTAATGGGGCAACGACCCAAGTCTGATTGAAACATCCTCTTTCCCACTCCTCTTCACTCTTGCTCTCCTCTCCACCATGGTTCCCAGAGCCTCTGGCTCCTTTCCAGGAGTGGGAGCTGCCTGCCCTTGGGTAGCTCCTCCACACACTCCCAGTCCCGTGGTGGCACAGCCATGGCAGATTGCCCAGCCCAGTCCAACAGCATGGCCAGGCTGCTTCTCTGCCACCCAGACAAGTGGTGACTCTGCTTTCCAAAGCTCCTGGGCTGGGCTGGGGACAAAGGGGGACCTGCCCTGCATGCCACAGAGATGCATTGTGGCATGGGTATAGCAGAGGACCCCAGGACTACCTGTACATGTACATACTTACACCCTTTCCTTTCCATCAGCAGAGCTGGGTTACAAAACAAAACAAAACAAAAAACTAAATCAAAACCAGAGCACAAGGAAAAGTCACAAATAGCTTGTGCTCCTTGGACTTTGCTGGTGAAGGTGGCAGGTTTCTGGAGGCTGGATGCTAACTGGGGAGTGAGTTCCCCAGTTGTGCTGCATGGCTGTGACAGGGCCAGCTGCCTGCCAGTGGGGAGTGGAGAAGTGCAGCACAGAAGTAGCACTGGCAGGAGATGGAGGGAGGAGATCCTGTCCAGACCTCCAGCCCTTCCATGACAAGTCCAGAAGGCACCGAGGGGACTTTTCCCCTCTCCTTCTTTCTCTCTCTCTTTTGCTATGGCCAAATCTGAAAAAAGGGCAGTGCTTGGCCAGGGACTGGGGATCTCTGTGGGGTTGGCAATCCCCATGCCCCCAGTAACACCATCTCCTTGTCTCCCCACAGTCGTGCTGGTGGTGGTGTTTGGCATCTGCTGGGCTCCCTTCCACACCGACCGCCTCGTCTGGAGTTTTGTATCCACCTGGACCAGCAGCATGCTCCACATGTTCCAGTACGTCCACATCATCTCGGGCGTCTTCTTCTACCTGAGCTCGGCCGCCAACCCCATCCTGTACAACCTGATGTCCAGCCGCTTCCGGGAGATGTTCCGGGAGGCGCTGTGCCGGCCCGGGCGCCGCCCGCCCTGGGGACACTCGCCCAGCGTCACCCGCACCGCCAGCCGCAGCACCGAGTGTGAGCCCGCGCCCGGCGCGCTGCCCCTCGCCCACGCCGAGGAGTACGAGCTGCAGGACGTGCAGGGGGGCCAGGCCAGCAGGCACGCACTGTCCCTCTGCTGAAGAGTGGGAGCACAGGGACTCTGGGGCCGGCTTTCCTCGCTGATGGCTTCCATCTGACTGTGGCACTTGTGCTGTGGTGGGGAGCAGGAGCGAGGGGGGTCCCTGCCTCTCTGTGCTGTCCCACCGGCATGGAAAGGCTGGTTGTGTCAGCAGCACTGCTGCAGGGACATGCTGGCAGTGACCTCGCTGTGCCCTGGATGCACAGCAATGCATCCCGCTGTCCTCAGCACCAGGCCCTTGTGGTGTGGGGACACTGACTTCTGTCAGGGATATGTCAGCAATCCATAAAAATATTCCATCCCTCCTGGCCCAGTGGGATGAACCTGCAGGTACTGGAGATGGGGGCTTAGGCATCCCAGGCTGTTTTGGGACACAGGGATGGATGGGTGCCCCCAGAGGTGCTTGCTCTTGGGCTGAGATCCAGGGCTGTGTGAGAAGTTTGCATGGGATTGTGGAAAAACCCCATTCATGGGGGAAAAATGTTCTGTGGGTGCCTTCTCCCTTGAGACTCTTCAGGGCTGTCTGGCACCAGTGTAACCCTGATTTTGTGGCACATCTCTTCAGTGGTGCCAGCTGGTGCCTGGCTGCAGGGTGCTGGTACAGCTCCTTGCTCCCAGCCTTTCCATGCCCTGCATTCCCACCCTTTGAGGGCAAGGGAAGCAGCACGGCTGCTCCCTCCAGAGCTGGAGTCCAGGGTGGGGGAAATATGAGACAAAGGGATCTCCAGGCTGTCTGTAGTGCCAAGGCAGAGCTCCATAACTGTCTGTGTTACATGAATATGCTCCCCTCTCTGACCAGCATGTGCTGGGTGCCAATCTCTCCTTCCTCTGCCCACCGTGGCCACCTGAACATGTGGGGAGCCCTCCTCCATCCTTGCCCTCAGCCCCTTCCATGGGCTGAGCCTCACTGACAATTAAAAAGCCACTGGCCTGATTTGTGCCCTGCTTGTGTCCCTGAGCACCCAGCTCTAGTTCCAGCATGGGACTGAGCCCAGGCCATGCTCCTGGGCAGGCTGTGGATGAGCCATGTGCAGGGTGATGGACACCAGGGCTGCTGTGCTGGGTCTGCAGGTCCAGGGACACTGAGGGCATGGCAGGGAGGGCACAAATGGGGTACCTGCACCCTTCCTGGGCTCTCAGCTGAGCTGGGGTTGGGGCCTGTGCAGAGGGACAGCTGCCTCTGGAGCTGTGGCCATCAGTCCTTGCCCAGACACTCGGATTGGGAAATGTCATGAAAATGCCAGGGAGCGTGGGCTGGCTGGTCATGCTCCCCAGGCTGGAAGGACCCATTGATTTCCTGCCTGAGATCAATGCTGCTGCCTTCCCTGTGCACACCAGCTCCTGCAGGATGAAATATTGAGGATCTGAAATGGGAGCTGAGGGACCGCCCAAGCAGTTTGAGCTCTTGTTTTGCACTACTAACTCAACCCCAGCTCCCTCTCAGCCAGCTCTGGAAGGCTCCCCTGGCTCAGCATCACATGGCCATGCCTCTGGTCAGCATGGGCTTGCCTGGGGCTTGCTTGAGCAGAAATACTGGATGAGCAAGCCACAGGCAGAGCAGTGCCAGCTGCTGCTCTGCTTCCAGCCCCTCCTAAGCACTTTGCATGGGACCATAGTCAGGTCAGTGACTGAGCAGAGGCAGGGTTTGGGGCTTGCACACTTCCTCCTGCCCCATCTACCCAGTCCCTAGTTCAGAGGCAGTGCAGCTGGCTTCCCCTGCTCCCCATCCCACAGCCAGGTCTGCCAAGGGCAAAGCCCTTCCTTGGCCCTTGAGGGGTCCTGGTGGGTGCTGCAGGGTGAGGGTGGGTGTTGGGCTGCAGTAACTTCATGTTTCAGGGTCCTGCTGACTGCTTGCAGCCTGTGTCTGGAGGAGGTCAGTGTGACCGAGGGCACTGAGATCTGTCTGTTTCATCCCGTCTCTCTCCTGTTGGTGATGGTCCTGGCAGGGCACAGCACCCTGGCAGCCCTGTGGGGCCCCTTGTGGCTGCTGCGTGGGTGGATGTGACTGATGCCTCCTTGATGGCCATTACTGCCCTGTCTCACTTCACCCAGCTGCTTCCTCAGCCACACATCTCCAGGGAATGGCTTTTTAATAGGCAGTCAATAGTATTTTATAATGCACTGACAGACGCCCGTGTGGAGTTTTCGGTCTCTCGTGCTGCACGAAGGCAAACCTGTCCTGCTGTCCCTGAGCAGGCAAGCTGTGCAGGGATACAGCTGCAGCTCCAGTGCCTTGGCCAGTGTCAGACTGTGTCAGAGTGTGTGTTCCCAGGGCTTTTCTACAGGATCCTTGGTTGTGGCACACCTGGGATGGGGTCCAGAGCAGCCACAAAGGTGAGGCACTGCCTTGGCCTTTACCCAGCCTTGTGTTCCCAGCTGACAGAACCTGGCACTCCCCATCCTCCTCGGTGTCCCCAAATTCAAACATCTCCTGATCTGGCACTCCCCATCCTCCTTGGCGACCCCAAATTCAGACATCTCCTGACCTGGCATTCCCCATCACCCTTGGTGACCCCAAATTCTCCTCTCTGAGACACACAAGGGAAGTATGCAGTCCAAGCCCTGATATATTGGGTGGTGGTGCCCCACCATGCCCTCCACGTGCACAGCTGGGCCAGGATCACCCTGCAAAGCATCCCAAACCTTGTCAGAGATGTAGCTGCAGCATGGTTGGTGGCAATTCCTGGGTGGAGATGTATTTGCTCCCCTGGCTGGGTTTTGATGATGTGGAGACTTCCTGGGTACCAATGCCAGCTGGGCTCCCAGGAGATGCTGGACTCAAAGGCTGCTGGGCAAGTCCTTTAATCCTGTAATTAATGAATGCATGAAACCTAATAAAGAAGGAACTGATCTCCTCAGGGAGAATGGTTTCATGAAGAGCATTTTACACCTCTCCACCACTGGGAAGGCAGTGGTTGAGGACTCCTTCATGCCTCAGGCTCACTGCAGCCCCCAGGAAGGGAATTACGGAGCTGTTTGCTCCAAGAATGATGCTCCCCACTGGCCTCAGGGCCAGCCTGGCCCTGCCACCTTCCCAGTATAAATGAGAGGGATTATCCCTCCCAGGGAGGTGATTTAGAAGCAAAGGGCCCTGTGGGATGGGGAAGGCAAGGATGGGCAAGCTGTTCCCACTGCTCCCACCCCTGTAACTGGCCAGGGGGATTTACTGGTGCTTCAGGATGGTTGGGCAGAAGGAGCATTCCAAAACACTGCCTAGGAGTCCAATAAATATTTCAGAGCCCCAGGGACCCCAGATGGGCCAGAGTAGGGGTAAATTGAGGGGCCAGGAGATGCAGGGAGTGTGTGGATGCCATTGCTCCGTGTCTTTGCTCAGAGCTGGGAGAAGCATCTCTCTGTCCCTGCAATATGGAGCACGTGGTCAGGTTGGGCTCCATGCCACCATCTCCTCTCCAAACATTTTGCTTCTGAAGAGCTGTTCCCCAAAACTTGTCCATCTGTCCTCCCAGACTTGCAGCAGCGTCTGTCCCACTGTCAGCTGCTGCCCAATCACCAGCTCCTGGAGCAGGAGCCCTCCTGCCCCCCGTGCCAGCTCAGCTCCCAGAGCTGTTCCCCCCACGCTGCTGCATGCCCTGAGTGACACCGTGTCTCCAGAGCTCGCAGGGAAAAGATTTATCACCAGAGCTTTGGGGATTAAAAAGCAATTCATCTATGAGGCTGCCCCAGCCTTGTAAGGCTTTTTTTTTGTGCTGTGATTATTTGCAACAAGCATGGGGTGGGATTTTTTTCCTTTGCAGAGCCAAACTCAAGTTTTACAGCAATTGCCTTGTATATTTGTAGCCGTGATAAATGGCTCCAGAGTGTGCCAGCGGATTTTTGCTGCCCCTTTTCAAGGGAAAATGGTTTCAAGGGAAGAGTTGTTTTTCCTTTCCTTCACACAGCCATGGGATGGGGAAAACTGCTGCAGTGTGAGTTTGGCAAAGCCCTTGTGAACCTGGGAATGAGCAGTCCCTGTCTAGGGCTGGGCAGGGGGGCAGGTTTGGGCTGCCCAGCCATGGATGCAGCACAGCAGCCTCTCCCAGCAAGATCCCAGCCTTTGTTAGGGGAGGAGGGAAGCAGGAAAATGTAGATGGCAGGAAACTGTGCTGGGTTTGAGCTTAGGCTGCTTTTTGAACCATATTTCATTTGTTCCCCTTATTCCAGGCTGATGGTGGTGGTGAAAAGCCAACACATAGTGCCTGCAGATGGTGATGGGCAAGGACACAGACAGCAAGAAATCACAGAATCATGGAGTAGTTCAGGTTGGAAGGGATCTTTGAATGTTTCTAGTTCAGCCCCTAGTGTGTATATGTAGAATTTGATTCTGCTCCTCAGGAACACCTCTGGGCTCAGTTTTTAGGCCCAGATCAGAGGCAGCCCCTCTTCCTGGCTGGCTCCTCAGTGGATTCTCACAGCAATCTCTCAGCTCCCAGGCAGGCACTGGGCAGGGCAGGGCAGGGTGGGGAGCACAGCCCAGCCAGGGCCCTGGAGGAGCTCAGGTGCAGCTCTGGGAGCTCAGGCTGGCTCAGCAGTGCTGCACTGGGGCTGCCACCTGCACCAGGGACAGTGTCCTCCCTGTCACAGCAAACCCAAGAGCCCTGCAGGGGTGAGGCCACGGGCAGGGAAGTGATGGGGCCCTTGCACCCCACCTCTCTTGGGGCACACGGGGTGGGAAACACCAGAGCCAGAGGGACAAAGGGCATCTCCAAGAAGTGAAGGACTGTGTATGGTCCTGTATAAGAAATCCCACTGGATTTTCCACCTGGCAGTCCTGCTGGCAGGGTGAGGGGAAGGGCACTGTGCATGGCACCACTGCCCTTCCCCACAGGCCAGCAGGGGCGATTAAAGCCGCTGGGCACCTTCACAGGCATCAGCTGGGGCAGGGTTAAAATCCCACCACAATGGGTTGGAAGAGAGAAAGCTTAGCCCACATCTTCTCCTGCAGCAACTGTGATTGCTAAAGATGGTAGAATTTATGTCAGAGAAGCCTGTGTGATGCTTAATTTTGTTCATAGGGACACTTTGGTTAAAAAATGAAAGCGAGGAAAGATAATTAGCCCAGCTGTAAGTGGACTGAAGCCGGCTGGATGGCTGAGCTCTGAGGCAAGGGGGCTGCTCACAGCTGGCTGTGAGTGCTGGCAGGACTGAGGGATTGGGCTCAGGGCACTGACCCTGAGGACAGCAGTCTGCAAGGGCTTTCCTACAGCCCCACAGGCCACGCTCAGGGCCCCAGCACACACAGCCCAGGGGCTGCCTGGTGCCCTGGCTGGGATGTGGTGGATGAGGGGGCATCAGCCCTCCAGCTCTCATTGGAGTGCAGCAAATTCCAGAGTGAAGAGGAAGGCTGCAAAGGCCAGACTGGGAAAAGGTAACTTTTATCTGGTGTTCTGTATATTAAGGACCAGTGAAAGTGGTCCCTGACCAGTCCCTGTTGACTCTGCCCAGGCTTCTGAGGGCAAGGGGGAATGCCTCCTTATGAACCTTGGGCTTTTCTGTAAGGTCAGCTCCTCTTCAAATATGGTTTTCAGTGTGTTTACTTGTGCTAAGGACTCCTCTGTGTTACAGCCAGGAAGGGAACAGTAGCCACTCCTGGCTCCTGCATTGCTCCATGCCCAGATGGCACTGCCCTCCCTCCTGGCTGAATCTCTCCAAAGTAAGTTTGAATGAAAACAAGTAAAACTCGAGGTATGGACCCAAGCTCAGGGTAGGCTCCAGCTGTCTCTGCTGCAATGTTATTGCAGTGGCAGACTTTAATTACGTGGGTTTATCACTCTTTGTGCTTATCAGGGCAGCCAGGGCGAGTTTGTCTCCTCAGTTCAGGACTATTTAATGTGGCACATTGGAGAAAGCTGTCTGAGATGACTGGGAGGCCAAACTCATCTTTCTTGTTATCTCTCCTGGGCGGGTGGAG